AAAAAAAAAAAAAAAAAGCTTGGGGACCCAAGCCATAGTGGTTCTGAGTCTGACAGACCAGTGCTTTGATCCCAACTTTAACACTGACTATGTGTGACTTTGGGCAAGTCGTTTCACCTCTGTAAGTCTCAGTTTGTGAAAGGTGTGACTTAGATTCTGCTTTTGAAGGTGACCTGGAGGTTGAATGAGACAGGAAAGCCCACAGTCCCTGAGCAGCAGGTGGAGGACGGAGTGCCATCCACAGGTCTGCTCTGCACAAAAACTCAGTGAGATGACTTACAGGAGGCAGTCAGCCTGGGAAGCACTGATCCCCACCCTCCTGCAGCTCCAGGTTCAGTCTTCTCTCTCAGGGGGTGGTTACCTGAAGCAGGTACCAGTAAATCTGGAAGGACTGTGCAAGGAAATGATTTACAGCGAGAGTGGGCAGGGGGATACCTGGGGGGGGTTTCTCCCACAGGGATGGTCAGTATCCATGTTCGCCATAAACTGGAACTAGAAAGAGAGGTGCCAAGTCTACCTGAAAACAAGGTAGAGCGCAGCAGCAGGGTGGTGTGGCTGGCCCTGGGGTGTTTTATCTGCTGGGGGAAAGGGTTCCTTTCAGTAATGACTGTTCAACTGCATGAGCTGTAAACACTCTATGGAAGTTTTGTTGTAGAAGCAACAGTTTCTCTCAAGAGGTTTCACAAATTAGGAATTTTTTCCCTCCCAGTTTTCAGATACCTTGTATTAAAATGAGAGTAGAAAACTAGAAGCCCTGCAACGTGCTGGAGAATTCAGTGACGTTCAGCGCGTTTCCCCACTGATCTATGTAATGACCAACAGCGCTGACACTGTGGTGAGCCACAAAGCATGTTTATCTAATGTCACACACTTGATGAGTAACAAGCTGTCAACACAGTTCCTGTGCAGAGAAATACGACTGATTCTTTACAATATTGGAGTAGTTCTAATATCCATTGGCTCAAAAATAGCTATTGATTAGTTCCTGTGGACGCATAGCTCCTGACTAGCCCTCGGAAGTTAAAAAAGAGCAGGTGAGAAATGACCTCCCCCCTCAGGGCTCCTCCCCCCTCCCCGCACAGGACTTGAGCCCTCACAGAAATCATAGTTTTGACTCTAGCAAACCCTTTGGAAACGTGTTCATTTCATTCTAAACTAAGTGGAATTAATTTTCAATTGCTGTCTTACTTGTCATCCTAGCGACAATCGCGGCTCAGAGCATGGTGGCTGTGGTTAATACAGTGCTGTCGTGAATTCTGGAAATTTGCTCAGAGAGTAGATTTTAGGTGTTCTCATGACACAAGGAAGGTAACTGTGAGGAGAAGGTGTGTTACTGAGCTGACTGCAGTAATCATTTCACTCTGTTTATTTAGTCGTCATATTTACACCTAATATACAATTTTTATTTTAAAAAGATCCCAATATTTTGGTCTGTATTTCTGAAGAACTGTAGGTTCTCCCAGGAGATACTTGATTCCTGTAGTGGTCAGAAAGAAAGTAGACCAGAAGGGTTTCCGGCGGTGCTAGTCACCCCCTTGCACACACGAGCGGATGAGTGTGTGGCAAGAACACCCGTTTCTGGACAGTGACAGTGACAAGCCAGTTTCCCGGGGCACTATGTGGTTTGAATGTACCTTCAAGTACATATTTCATTCGGTCCTCCAAAACCGCTATGATTTTCACCAAAACACTTTAATTGACTGAAGAAAAGGAATTAGAAGTAATAGCTGCCAGTTTTGGAGAGAGTGGTAGCCTGGCGCTCGGCCCTCCGTGTCCCCTCTGTGCATTATCTCGTCTTCACAGTGACCCGCACCCTCCGTGTCCTGCGTGTGGAAGTTGAGGGCTGCGGAGTTTAGCAACTTTCTCCAGAATGCAGCTGAAACGGACTGGAGCCGAGGCTTTTGTCTGACTCCAAAATCCATTGTCCAGCAAAGAAAACGTTTTTCAAAATATAAAATCATTTGACTTGTTTTTGTGATAAAACGATACCAAAGCCCCTTTATCCCGGTGGGCAGAGTGCGGGAAGCTGTCAGCCCACGGGTGCGCCTGGTGTGCTTCCAATGCTGGTTCCAAGGAGAGCGACAGGACAGAAATCCCTGCGGTCCTATCCCGTGTTCTCTAGTTTGCTGTTGCTTCTGTTGACGGTTTTTACATGACATGTCCAGTAATATCTTCTCCAGAGCTGACCTATCGACATCTGAAAATTACTGGGGGTTTTCACTTTGGAAACCGTGACCTGTTGTTTAACTTAAGATGCAACCACTTAAACAGCAGTAGAACTATCTTTCGGGGGACACTGCGGTATTGTGTCAGAGCTGGCTGCTTTGGACTTTAAAAAGCGGTAAGGATCTGGCCTGGGGTGAGAGGCTCTAGCCCTGCCTTGCGAAGCTGCCGTCAGGCATACGGTTACCTGGCTTGGGGTCTGGGGCCCTGTTCTGCACAAGGCCGGTGAAGGAAGCTCCCGGCACACTAAGCAGCGCTCCGTCACCAGGCGCATACNTTCTGCACAAGGCCCGTGAAGGAAGCTCCCGGCACACTAAGCAGCGCTCCGTCACCAGGCGCATACTCCTAACCAGCGCTGTATGAACACCGACCGAGACAGGCCAACCCCAGGTACACGGTAAACCGGTGATACCTGACTTCTCGGTCAAGGACCCTGCAGGGAAAATTAAAAAGGAAGGAGGGCGGTGGTGAAAAGTGGAGCTACAACCTAAAAGGGCAAAAGGAAGACCAGCCCAAGGCTGAAGCATTGATGTGTGTCTCTGTGAAAAGTCACCTGTGTGGCTTGACCCTCCACTGCTGGGTATTGGTTGCATTACGGTCAATACATAAGGGGCGGGTGTGTGTATGTGCCATGCACACTCATCCACTCCGGTGTTAAATTTAGCCTTTAAAGGGGGATATTAGCCCAGTTTTACTCTTCAGCAAGCAGGTGCCAAGAGGTTTGACCAGTAGCCCACATTCCACACTCAGTGGCACTGGATTTCAGCCGTTTTCTCTCCCATGGCCCAGTGTTTTCCAGCGAGTACACCTACCACAGGTGTTTCACAGCATGATTTCAGGTGGCAGAAAGGCAGGCTTTTTACAGTTTTAGTGATTAGATTTTAAAGTTATTGGAAAAGTTTAATGAGCACATTAAGCACATGATTTTATGACTATTGCTATAATTCAATTATGATAGATTTGTTTCAGTTGAAATAAAATCAGTATAGAGAGTAACCTGAAGCCAGTAGCAGGAAGGTGGTGTCCCTGGGGACAGAAGTCCTGGAAGTGGCCCACTGGGGGCTGAAGTTTGGCCAGCGCTGGGCTCAGCTCTGATTCTCTAGTTTTAAAGAGTCAGCTGCTGGGAACCAGTGTGATCCAGTGA